ACACACACACACACAGAGAGAGAGAGAGAGAGAGAGAGAGAGAGAGAGAGAGAGAGAGAGAGAGAGAGAGAGGTGGTCTCGAGTATACACTGTAATTATAACAGGTGATTTGTAAAGCAATTTTGGAAAATAAATATTAGCATACAAATACAAACAAATGTACGACTGAAACTTTTTACAATTCATGCTTTAATTTTTGCGATATTATTTTTTTCTTCCACTAAGTTCATTAATACATTGTACTGTTAAATTAGGCATTATCCATGGGTCCTCGTGGGGTATTGGCAAACAAACAACTAGGATATTTTAAAGAGGGGCAAGTTGACGACTGATCCTCCCCTTTTATAAGTGAAACAAATACAACTTCTCCTATTTTTACACATTTAAAAAAAATCTGCCATGGGCGTTAAACAAAAATGACGACAAAATATCTTTCAGCCCGACACATCTACATCTGTGTTGCAGGTTCTTCCTTATTACAATAAAATAACAAAAGTCAAAAAGCGTTTTCACATTCATCTTGATTACATCAACTGTACATAATATATATCCCGGCTCAACAGTAACCATAACCGTTACACCATACACCATGTTCCAGAGAAATGAAAAGTGGTTACAGCATCGAGGGGCAAATTGACTTTTTTTTACCTCCATACTGATAGACTTCTTAATCATTATTAGAAAAATTATGTAATTTATATAATACAATTAAATTGTTTATTTATGTATATACAACTTGATTAAAGATTGTCAAATAATAATATTGCAATATTTGCCTCAAATATATTTGTTTTTTAGCGATATTTTGACAAGAAAACAACATTCATCATGAAAACAACATTCATCATTCAATGCATTGAAGATTACTAACATCCAAATATCGATTACTATTTTGTTTCAGACTTACTAATTTCAACATAGATTTTATTCATCAAAAATTAAATTAAATGCATTACGTAAATATTTCTTACATTAACTATGAAACATTTCAAGTTAAATAAGATTAGGATTGGGATCAAACGATAAAAAGTAACCTGAAATAAAAAAAAAACCTAAAATACAGCCACGCAGCATCGATTTTGAAAGGGAGGGCAGCCATCCCCTGCGAGACGATCATGAATAATTCATGAATCATGAATAATCCTTGAATTTTTCATGAATTTTATTCATGAAATGTTCATGAAATATTCATGAAGATCCTATGAACTTATAATTGGACATTTTCAAATCATGAATTTTTATTCATGAAAGAAAATTGATGAATATTCATGAATATTTTTTTTCATGAATAATTCTTGAAGAGTCATATGCATGAAGATTCATCATTTCAAGAATGTCCAATAATAAGTTCATTGGATCTTCATGAACTGTTCATGAATAATTTGATGAATTTTTTCAGGAATGTTCATGAATGAATAAAATTCATGAACCATTCTTGCTTATTTGTAAACAAAAAATGCAATATTATTATTCATGTTTATTCATGAAAATGCATGAATTCATGCTAGAAAAGTAACAGTAGATGTTTTATAATACAGCATCTTGAAAGATTTCACAGAAATGTTGTTTGTTTATTTGTTTTCCAACCATGGCAACAAAATCTTCGTTAAAAAACTTAAAATAGACAGTTCTGACATATTAAACCATAGTAAATGAGTAATGTAGTTCATTCCTGGTAAATGTATAAAAAATTTCAATTCAAACGCAACTCTTTGCAGAATGTTTAACCTTACTTGGTCAAGAGGAGAGGGGGGTCCTTCCTCAGCATGTTTTAAAGTGTGTTTTAATGCCAGAAATTGAACAGTTTTTAATTCCAGTCTAGGAGAAAAGTTTGTTCAGCAACAGGGTAACAGTTTCAAGTGCTTTCAAGCAGTTCGAGCAGAGATGGTCAATTCATAAATCCTTATTGTCTCTCCATGTGGAATTTCCAGAATTTCATCATTTGGATCCTTTGATTGAATATCATTCATATTTTCAAGCCTTTTTTTCTTTCTTTTTCAAGAGCTCAGATTTTTTTTTGCAGCCAGAGTTTCTTGTCTTCTGCTCATCAACATTTGTGAACTGCTTCTCTTTTTCCTTCAAAAAGAAAGATTTTCTGAAATTACCATGATTGTAAGACATAAGACTTTTTTGTGTATTTTCTTGCATTTTAGTTTCATTTAATTTTGCATCAGAGGCGCTTCCAAATTAAAACATTCTGAATGGAATTTAAGCCTATTTTCTTGGACAAATAGACAGTAACATTTACAGACAGATTTCTGACTCAGTGATTGCCTCTATTTTTGTCACTCACAAGTTATGAAGTAGATCAATCCAATATCTATAGTCTTCCTTCTTCATATTCTGTTATTTTCTTTAAAAGTTGACAAAGATCAGTGACTGTGCAAATTATAGATCACAAATACCGATCCTTCCACTCTCCAAATTCCCACTTCCAACGTTTTCAAGTTTGCGCCTTTTCAAAAATGTACGGTAGGGCTAAGAAATACGTTAGTTCCGAATTTCCAAAATTTATGTTTAAAAAAAAAACAAACACTATCTAAATAATTTTTCACTGAAAATACAATTTTTTATAGCAAAATAAGTTTTATCAATGAAGAATCGAACTTTTTACGTCATCAATTAAATTGGACTAATATTACAATAACATCGGGATCGAAGTCGGACTCGACGAACAATTAATTTTAACAACACCGAATTTCAAAAATATCGAATGCCATGTGGGACATACTAAAACAAGTCCCACGGGGAAAATAAGTCCCACATGAGTCCCACAGAAAAAAATGAGTCCTACCAGTAAATATGATATCTTATTAATATTTTACAATATATCTTTATAGATTGTCATTGTTTAGATATGTTTTGAATAAAATTTTGTCACAAAAAAGGTTTTAGAAGACGGTTACAACGACTAGTTACAAAAACAAAGAACGATAACTCCTATATCCTCATATAACTCTAGTGTTTCCTAATCCCAACAATAATGATAACATTTTAGTAGTTTTTGAAAACAAAAATTAAAAGATATAATAATTTTATTATTAAATTAATTATATTTTAAAAATGCAAGAAGTTCTAAGATGTTTTCTAATGATCGTGTATAAACAAAGAGCAATAACTCTTACATCTGCCTCAAGTATTGAAGTAACAAGCCATCCAAATTTTAATTCTAAAGATTTTATGAAACTTTCACAATGTTCCTTGGTTTATATGCCTTCTGTAGCAGTTCTAATGACTAAAAAAACTACTACCAAAAACAGACATTTTCAATCAATTTTTATATAAAAATTAATAATTTTACAAAATCAAACCTTGGGAAATTCAATGATTTTTTTCAATGCTAGTCTTGTATTTATCAAGCATATGAGAAGGAGATTTTTAGTTAATATGTGCAATGTATTAGCTCAATAATCTAAAGCCATTCTTTCTTTGAAAATTACGACTATACAGTCCTAGTAAATTATATAGACCTATAAGTATTGTTTTAAAAATATAGAAAGTGAACTAGTTTACTCATTCATAACATGGTATGAAATTGGAAAGTGATTTATATATGACAACAGTGATAAACTAGTATTTGAATTTTTTTAAAATTACTTTAAACTTTTATAATTTTTTGTATTTTATAACAATTCAGTGAAATAAGGAATCAAACTGCAAAAATCAGAATTCCAGTTGACTGAGTTGAGATAGGTGTGTTTTCATCTATTAAAGACACTTGCGTTGTGAAAAACTTTCAGTTAATTAGAGAACTAGTACTCAGATGCATGGGCTTGTATTCGGGTATCCTGGAAATATATTTGGTGAATATGATGAACTTGTGGAAAATAAACGTGTTTATTATTAAGTTATAACAAGTGTTTTAATTCTGTTAAAGTCCTTCTGTCGAAGATGAAAAGCACTTCTTATAATTATAAGACTGCAGCTTTAATTTTTTTTATTTGCTTATGGTGCAAATTACAATTCTTATAATGCACAATGTCACTTTAATAAATAGTAAGTCACTGACATTCAATAACGCAATTGCAGGATTTCAGAACCTAAGTTATGGACTATTGAAGTTTGGCTACTGAAGTCCATATATAAAATTCGTTTATTAAAAAAAATTCTTTCAGATCAAAATTAAATTCAACATCTAATTTCGTTGACTTTTTTTTTGGTACCTATAATTCATGGTGTAAATCAAATCACTATAAACACATGATAAAATTCCAAGTTTATTTTTAAAAATACTCTTTTTTGACATGTTCCATATCCAGGAATAAACTGGCTTTAACATTTGTTTAATAATCTAATTTTTTTTCTTTATTTACATGATGAATAAGAAACACATTTTTTAATAAAGAAAATGGAAAGATAACAGTTACATCTCTGCATGGTATTTGTTCTACAAATTAATACAAAACTTCAATGGTTGTGCCTTTAATAATATTATTTGGAATCTTTTCATACAAGTCAAGAATTTCCAATACAGTTTATGCTGACTTAGTCTATTCTGAATCATAATTCTTTATTAATTTAATTTTCAAGGAATGTTTTTATTTATGAAATCAAATACCAACATTTTTTATTAATGACCTTATTTGTCATACATAATAGTAGCTGAAATTTCAATAATTCTACATTTAATTAAATATTTTATTTGAATTCCAAATGGTGTAACCTAGCCCCAGCCTTGTTCAAAAGTTATTGTAATAGGTATACAAACAACAGGGATATTGAAAGGTGTGAATAATATCCCCTAGGTGTTGTGTACAGGTATACCAGGGACGTACCTCTACAGGTGTCTGTGAAATGTGTATATACACAATAAACATGGGTGTCAGGAAAACTTACCAAGTTGTTGTTAAATTACATAAAACCACAGTAAAACTATTTTAGTTTGTAAGAAACAAAGTAATAATATAAAATCATTATAATAAAATAAAACTTACTTTGAGTTGTATATAATATAATATTGGAAGAATATTTTCAAACGAAACTTAAAAATTCAAGTAAAACATGTTGATGCTCCACAGAAGGAAAGTTGGAACGAGTGCCACGAACAGGGGGATCATGGTCAGCTTGGGATGGAAGAAGATGACGACATTTTTAAGACCAGTAGGTACAATATTGTACAGTATTTTATGTGTCCTCGAACGAAGAATGTTTCTGCTACTTTTGATTAATCCGGGCACCATACATAAAATGCCCGACGGTGAAATCGTTAGGACAAGCACTTTTTCTGTAATAATTATTTAACAATTCTATACATATCATTAAGGTCATTGATTTTAACCCGGATTTACTTGCTTGGAATCGTACTAATGTAAAGAATTTTACTTGTACCTTCCTTTGTTCAAGATAACATTTACAGAGTATGATGTACATGTGATTAATTATATATTTTGTAATGCATGTTCATGACCATTTTCAGCTCTTATCTTGCATGTTTAGATTGTTTTAATAGTTGCTGCATTGCCTGAGATGATTTTCACAGTCCTGGCCTTTGATAAAAGTGCATATTATACATGTAGATGCTTAACCAGTCAGTCACTAGGCTTGTGAATATGGTGAGAACCAGCTCAAATTATCATTCAAAACAAATAAACTAACTTTGATTTTATTAATCTATGTCTTTAAGCATAAGATTAAAAAAATATTGCAACTATGCCAAGTAAACAACATTTAAAGATTTATATTCTTAACATGCCTAATTTCCATATCCTTATTATTTTTAACTATGAATTCTGAAAGGTAATCTAAACATGCTAACTGCATGGGTATGTATAATTATTATAGATCAAATATAATCAAAGATATCATCTTCTATGAACTAGTATGAAGTACATGCATTTTACAGGAATCCGGATGCTCACAAGATTTAGGACAAGAACTGTATAAAAAAAAATGGTAAGATTTCTTCATTATTTTCTTAATCAATAAAATCACATGAATTGAAATTCATTTTTTTCAATGTTAGTCAGGCATTGAGCTTCAGCTCTAGCCTTTTCATTTAAGCTCACCTGAGCCATTTTAAGGCCTAAGTGAGTTTTTTGATCAGTGTCACAGTCTGGTGTTTGTCTGTTGTCTATAAACTTTTCACATTTTTACATATATCAGAATTAAACCTAATTTGAACAAAAAATTGCAAGATAGTGAATTCATATTCTACAGTAAACTGATCTGCCAGGTAGAAAAGAACAATTGTTTTGTAGAGCTTTAGTTTATTATTTGTCATATATTTATACGGATTTCAATAATGATACATCTTAAATGGTCATCTCCTCTTTCAGAAATTGTGCAAGGAAAGTTTGAAGTGTTTGTTTGAATGATCAACATCGAATTTGCTGAGCCTTCGTACTAAAAGTGAATCCGTTGGTGACGCCAATTATCTGTCAACCCTCTGCAAATTTCATGTTATATCTGTGAGGATGTGATTCTAGCAACATGACAGTTTTGTATCTTCCATAATTGGGATCTTTGGCACGTACATTGGTGGAAAATAGCAACTGTTCATGTTATGGGATCTTTGTATCAATGAAGTTGTGTACTACATATATTTTTGCATTTAATACATGTGTTTGTCACTCTAGTCACTAACTTTGTACAGTAAATTTACATTGGCCACTGGCACTTTATTGTAAATGTGTATCCTGTTGAGGTTTCAATGACCTCTCCCAATCCTTGGCCAATGTCATTTTATGAATCTAACCTCTTATTTAAAAAAAAATGCGTACTTTAGTTTACTACAAACATGTATATCATAACTTGATTATCATTAATTTAACCAAAGTGATCCCACAGTAATCTTTTTTTTTCTTGGATATTTCTGTTAAAAACCTTTGATGTAAAATACTTTGCAGTTTCATTGAGAATACATACATTAAAAAAAGTGTGCTTAAATTGTACATCTGAGTGGTATATGCTATTACATTTGTCTCAAAAAACATTGTAAAAGAAACTGTGCATTTTTTTATTTTGCAACTTGTTTAAAGTTTGATGTTAGAGAAAATTCGGTCGAACAAAGTTGTGTGATGAAAAATGACATTATTTAAAGCACATTATCATGAATATAACTGTTTAATTTAAATTATGAAGAAACATAAATAATCAATTTGAAAAAAAAATGCTGTCAATAGTGATGCAGTGTTTGTTTAATTAATATCAAATAAAAACACAAAATGTTTAGAGATTTCATGATTTATTTTTTCAGATAGTTGGTGAAAGAATGTTATTAAATATAAAGTATGCCAGGGGCTTGTTCAACAATTGCATCTGCATGCAAAAGTTGTATTATGAGAGTAATGAGTGTTTTCTGTCAATCATTTTTGTCAATTATTTTAGTCATCATGAACATTAATAATACCTTGAACTCTACATTTTTTCTGTCTTTAAAATGAAAATTACCAATATTTATATAAATTCATCATTTGTTAATGAATTACATTTAATGAATATATTCATGAATAAAGTTCATGAACCATCTTTATGAACCAGTCATGAACCGTTCATGAACACATCATGAATGTTCATGAACGATTCATAAAAGTTCCTGAAATTATGAATTTCACCTCGCAGGGGATATATAAATATGTTTGACTTTTCTGAAGAAGTTGACAAGCAAAAAAAAAAAAAAAAAAAAAAAAAAATCGCCCAAACTCGAAAATACTATTTAGGGGGGGGGGGGGGGGGGGTTGAATGCAAACTTCTTTCAGTACCAATTTTTTGGAATGTAATATTACATTTTCCTTTTTCCCTTATATCAATTTCCCGTAGTATAAAGTGAGGGGCCAACCAGCCTTTTAATTAACATTTTCAATAGTAAAAGTAATTTTAGGGGAAAAAAGGGGGGACCCCCTTCCCTCTTGCTACGTGCATGAAATAACTCGTAAAATGAGGGAAACCTACAAATTTTATTTAAAATATATATTTATTATGTTAGACTAAAGTAGAAAATCATACAAAAAGCAGTTAAATTGCATTGATTATAAAATTTTAGTAGCGTACTCTATCGTACTCTGTTATAGTGGTACCGGGTCGGACTAGTGAAATCTTTCCGTTTAGGGGCCTAGTTTTAACAAAACTAATCTACTGCTGACGGATATCTGATCTTGGGAAAATCGTGTAAGGACATTATCTTTATGTGTGATGTGCAGCCCGCGCTGCACCGTAAAATTTCCCCATTCTTTTCTTCGACCTAGATATACCGTGTCACACTTGTGACGTCGCACACGTCATTTCCGGTATACAGCGATTTTCAGTGCGAGCTCTCAGGTGTAAACTAAGCTATTTTTAGTAATATCTCTAATCAGCGAAAGTGATAGTGGATGTTCTTTATATCATTTTACTCATAATTATAATGATTATCGAACTATGTTAAAATGTAAAACCTGTCAAGCCTTTCTTTAAGTTACACATTAATACAGAGAGCAAGTTTACATACAATTTATTACCCATATAACCCACCATACACGAAAATTGGCTAATAATTGGGTCAACATCTTAGCGCTGCATTACAGAATTTGAATTAAATGCTTTTACACAATAATTACATTATTTTACATGCAACTTACACTTACACACAGTAATTTCACTTACATAGTTACTTTACTGTTTAGAATCATAATGAAACTAAATACGACAATACTAGAGCCGATACTACATTAAAAACTACTCACTACAATGTTTATAAAACATACAAACTACACAAACGAACGAACATTCTAACGATTAAACTAAAATTAAAATACGTTGAAATAACAAAGTAAACCCAGGACCGTTTAATTAACGAAACAGAGAAGAAGATGTAAATAAAACATGTTACTCACCTCAGAAGTCAGTGTCTGTAATAACTCTTTAAAGGTACTTGGACACAGATTTGAAGTTAATATTTTCTCATTTTTTCTGTATAATATCACGAATTATATATTTTAATAGCATTTCACACAAAAATTATTTAAAAATCTTATTTCATTTTAAAGTTATTAAAACTTTAAGTTTTTTGGCGGGTTTGATTGACATATCCTTGCACTTTCACAAATTTAATTTTATTCTTAATCCTTAGGAAAAGTGACAATCTCGTTTTGTATAAATGAAAAATATTAATACTATAATCCAGAAAATTCAGAGTAGACATGTTCGAAAGCAAAACAAACACACAATATATTGTCAGTCCGTGCAGTTGTGGTAAGCAGACTGTGACGATTGAACGCACCCGGTGAATTCTAAATATAAACAATAACAGATCTACTGCCCTGTTTTTCATAGTGAGTTGTGTAAAATTTTACTACAAAAAAGCTCAAGGGCTTCTCCAAATATTTCACGGAATTTAATGTGTCACAGACAGAACTACAGACATGGGTACGGAAGGACAGGCATACCGAAATAAAATAATATCCTCTGTAATGTTATCACATTTAATTTTGTGTATTCTCTATGATATAAGCACTGCAAGTTTTGTGTATGTTGTAAGCGGCCCTGATCTATTTTTAGATAGTATTGAACGCCATATTGGTTGGTTCTAACTTTACGTGGTGTCAGAAGCTAAAACCGTACAACGCAAGGATTAATGGAGCAACTGAAGCCTCCAGACCATCTTTCGATGGAAGGAAATCTTGCGGAGAATTGGAGAGAGTGGATCCAAGGTTTTGAGCTTTATCTAACAGCAACAGGAATTGCAGAGAAAGCCGAGAAAATACAGGTAGCTACTTTGTTGCACGTGGCCGGCATCGAAGCACGCCGTGTTTATAATTCTTTCAGTCTCGAAGGCAAAGATAGGGAAAAGATAGATATATTGAAAACTAAGTTTAAAGAATACTGTGAGCCTCGTAAGAACTTGACATACATTAGACATGTGTTTTTCACGAGGAATAAGGGCCAGGACGAGCCCATAGACAATTATGTGACAGATTTGAAAAATAAAGCGCAGCCTTGTGAATTCGAACATTTAACGAACGGATTAATCAGAGACAGAATAGTGTGTGGTATTCAGGATGAAGCATGTCGTGCACGTTTATTAAGAGAAACTGATTTGACACTGAGCAAAGCAATCGATGTGTGCCGAGCTCAAGAAATGAGTACCAAACAGTTAAAATCTCTGAAAGGATCTGAGGAACAGTCCATAGCAGCCATACGTAAGTCAAATAGTGGCCGGAAACTCAGCTCACCAAAGAACACAAAACCTGATAAACAGAACTGAAAATCAAAGGCCTGACAGTACTGGAGGTAAGCCATGTCGCAATTGTGGAAGAAAACATATGACTGGTGACTGTCCTGCATACGGAAAAATTTGTCATCGTTGTCAGAAGAAGAATCATTTTGCGAAATATAAAATATAATGAATTTAATAATAAAATTATTATATCTTTTAATTTTTGTTTTCAAAAACTACTAAAATGTTATCATTATTGTTGGGATAAGCAAACACTATAGAGTTATATGAGGATATAGGAGTTATCGTTCTTTGTTTTTGTAACTAGTCGTTGTAACCGTCTTCTAAAACCTTTTTTGTGACAAAATTTTATTCAAAACATATCTAAACAATGACAATCTATAAAGATATGTTGTAAAATATTAATAAAATATTATATTTACTGGTAGGACTCATCATTAAAAAAATTAGATTATTAAACAAATGTTAAAGCCAGTTTACTCCTGGATATGGAACATGTCAAAAAAGAGTATTTTAAAAAATAAACTTGGAATTTTATCATGTGTTTATAGTGATTTGATTTACACCATGAATTATAGGTACCAAAAAAAAAACGTCAACGAAATTAGATGTTGAATTTAATTTTGATCTGAAAGAATTTTTTTTTAATGAACGAATTTTATATACGGACTTCTTCAGTAGCCAAACTTTAATAGTCCATAACTTAGGTTCTGACATCCTGCAATTGCGTTATTGAATGTCAGTGACTTACTATTTATTAAAGTGACATTGTACATTATAAGAATTGTAATTTGCACCATAAGCAAATAAAAAAAATTAAAGCTGCAGTCTAATAATTATAAGAAGTGCTTTTCATCTTCGACAGAAGGACTTTAACAGAATTAAAACACGTTATAACTCATAATAAACATGTTTATTTTCCACAAGTTCATCATATTCATCAAATATATTTCCAGGATACACGAATACAAGTCCATGCATCTGAGTACTAGTTCTCTAATTAACTGAAAGTTTTTCACAACGCAGGTGTCTTTAATGGATGAAAACACACCTATCTCAACTCAGTCAACTGGAATTCTGATTTTTGCAGTTTGATTCCTTATTTCACTGAATTGTTATAAAATACAAAGTATTATAAAAGTTTAATGTAATTTTAAAAAAATTCAAATACTAGTTTATCACTGTTGTCAGATATAAATCACTTTCCAATTTCATACCATGTTATGAATGAGTAAACTAGTTCACTTTCTATATCTTTAAAACAATACTCATAGGTCTATATAATTTCCTAGGACTGTATAGTCGTAATTTTCAAAGAAAGAATGGCTTTAGATTATTGAGCTTATACATTGCACATATTAACTAAAAATCTCCTTCTCATATGCTTGATAAATACAAGACTAGCATTGAAAAAAAATCATTGACTTTCCCAAGGTTTGATTTTGTAAAATTTTTATATAAAAATTGATTGAAAATGTCTGTTTTTGGTAGTAGTTTTTTTAGTCATTAGAACTGCTACAGAAGGCATATAAACCAAGGAACATTGTGAAAGTTTCATAAAATCTTTAGAATTAAAATTTGGATGGCTTGTTACTTCAATACTTGAGGCAGATGTAAGAGTTATTGCTCTTTGTTTATACACGATCATTAGAAAACATCTTAGAACTTCTTGCATTTTTAAAATATAATGAATTTAATAATAAAATTATTATATCTTTTAATTTTTGTTTTCAAAAACTACTAAAATGTTATCATTATTGTTGGGATAAGGAAACACTATAGAGTTATATGAGGATATAGGAGTTATCGTTCTTTGTTTTTGTAACTAGTCGTTGTAACCGTCTTCTAAAACCTTTTTTGTGACAAAATTTTATTCAAAACATATCTAAACAATGACAATCTATAAAGATATGTTGTAAAATATTAATAAAATATCATATTTACTGTTAGGACTTATTATTTTTCTGTGGGACTCATGTGGGACTTATTTTCCCCGTGGGACTTGTTTTAGTATGTCCCATATGGCATTCGATATTTTTGAAATTCGGTGTTGTTAAAATTAATTTTCGTCGAGCCAGACTTCGATCCCGATGTTATTGTAATATTAGTCCAATTTAATTGATGACGTAAAAAGTTCGATTCTTCATTGATAAAACATATTTTGCTACAAAAAGAATTGTATTTTCAGTGAAAAATTATTTAGATAGTGTTTGTGTTTTTTTTTAAACAGAAATCTTGGATCCGGAAATTCGGAACTAACATATTTCTTAGCTCTACCGTACATTTTTGAAAAGGCGCAAACTTCAAAACGCGCGAGACGTTGGAAGTGGGAATTTGGAGAGTGGAAGGATCGGTATTTGTGATCTATAATTTGCACAGTCCCTGATTTTTGTCAACTTTTAAAGAAAATAACAGAATATGAAGAAGGAAGACTATAGATACTGGATTGATCTACTTCATAACTGGTGAGTGACAAAAATAGAGGCAATCACTGAGTCAGAAATCTGTCTGTAAATGTTACTGTCTATTTGTCCAAGAAAATAGGCTTAAATTCCATTCAGAATGTTTTAATTTGGAAGCGCCTCTGATGCAAAATTAAATGAAACTAAAATGCAAGAAAATACACAAAAAAGTCTTATGTTTTACAATCATGGTAATTTCAGAAGATCTTTCTTTTTGAAGGAAAAAGAGAAGCAGTTCACAAATGTTGATGAGCAGAAGACAAGAAACTCTGGCTGCAAGAAAAAATCTGAGCTCTTGAAAAAGAAAGAAAAAAAGACTTGAAAATATGAATGATATTCAATCAAAGGATCCAAATGATGAAATTCTGGAAATTCCACATGGAGAGACAATAAGGATTTATGAATTGACCATCTCTGCTCGAACTGCTTGAAAGCACTTAAAACTGTTACCCTGGTGCTGAACAAACTTTTCTCCTAGACTGGAATTAAAAACTGTTCAATTTCTGGCATTAAAACACACTTTGAAACATGCTGAGGAAGGACCCCCCTCTCCTCTTGACCAAGTAAGGTTAAACATTCTGCAAAGAGTTGCGTTTGAATTGAAATTTTTTATACATTTACCAGGAATGAACTACATTACTCATTTACTATGATTTAATATGTCAGAACTGTCTATTTTAAGTTTTTTAACGAGGATTTTGTTGCCATGGTTGGAAAACAAATAAACAAACAACATTTCTGTGAAATCTTTCAAGATGCTGTATTATAAAACATCTACTGTTACTTTTTTAGCATGACTTCATGCATTTTCATGAATAAACATGAATAATAATATTGCATTTTTTGTTTACAAATAAGCAAGAATGGTTCATGAATTTTATTCATTCATGAACATTCCTGAAAAAATTCATCAAATTATTCATGAACAGTTCATGAAGATCCAGTGAACTTATTATTGGACATTCTTGAAATGATGAATCTTCATGAAAATGACTCTTCATGAATTATTCATGAAAAAAAATATTCATGAATATTCATCAATTTTCTTTCATGAATAAAAATTCATGATTTGAAAATGTCCAATAATAAGTTCATAGGATCTTCATGAATATTTCATGAACATTTCATGAATAAAATTCATGAAAAATTCAAGGAAAATCATGAATTATTCATGATCGTCTCGCAGTGGTTGTAACTATCGTTTTTGCCCTAAGTTGAATACTCTGATCTAGCTGTTCTTCGCTGCAGACAAGGCATGTGAAATGTGCAGCATTTAATCCAGTTAGCGTTAATTTCCCAACCATATCCTCAAATTCAGCGAGTATGCATTCGCACATCTTCACGTGTTTTTCTAGGCAAGCTAAATGTCATATTGTTAAGCCGTCGCTTGCTTCAGTCTCAACATTAAGACCATTCGTTCTTAAATACTTCAACAAATGAACGTTTCCACTTCTTGCCGTAAAATAACCTGCATGACGACCTTTTATATCAGTTAAAAAATCAACTTCTGAACTTTTTCGAGAATTAATTGGCACATGTTCATATTCCCTGCATTGCACGCAATATGAAGAATTGTACGGGGTTTTTTTTGCTGAAACAGCATCAAGATTTGCTCCTCTGTATACAAGCTTTTGAAAAATATTACAATGTCCACTTTCAGCACAATAATGAATCGGTCTCCAATCACTTTCAGCCAATGTTTCCATCAAATCAGGCGATTTATTGAGAATAAGTTTGCATGCCTCGGGTTGTTTATTTTTACAAGCAATATGGAGGATGTTTTCATTGCTTTTATTTGTACCTTTCATGTTTTAATTATGACCATAAAGATATGCTAGAAGCTTCACATTGCCATACCTTGCAGCGAAATGAATCGCATTTTCCCCTTCATAATTTTGTAGATTTGCCAACTCTCCATTTTCATTCATGCTTAAAATAAGTTTTTGCTAATGGAATAGCAATGTGGAGTACAGATAATTGACCTTGAGATGTCTGCTGTTTGCTGTTTAATATCCATCCCCTTTTCAATCAGTCTATGAAAAATACTGATTATTTCCTCCAAAGGCTGCAGCATGCAACGCATTGAACCCTTCTGAGTCACGTTTATATAAAAGATTAATATTATTTTTAAAATCTTTGTTCAAGTAAAAATAGAATTTTCTTACAATTCCTTTGCGACATGCTTTATGAAAAGCATTTAACAATTTTTCATTTTCTCCTATGAATTTGTGAATTCCTGAAACTAAAAAGCAAGATATTTTATTGTTAAATTCTCAATCTTACAGGATGAAAAACGCATACATATTTTATAGTTCACTAAATTGTTGTAACACCTAATTTTTGCGAGGAAGACATTTACTCTTTATTAATGAGATTTTAAAAATCTTCACGAAATGTGTTTACTTTTCTCTATTATCTTGAGGAATACTTATATACGCGAGAATGATATTTAATGACCATTATGCCTCGCGTTATTACCTGAAAATAAAGTTTTCGCGAATACAAAGTTATGATCAGTACATGTACGTACATTTATACATTAGGCACAATTCCTAAAGAACAACTTGTTATTCTTTTTTTTAAATATACTGAACCCCTTGACTGCCTTATAATGGCAAATAAGTCTACGTTGGATGCTCATTTATCATAATAAGACGTGTGCTAGTCATATTGTGTTGTGTTTTTCAAAAATTATTTAGTCATAACTTTGCCAATCTCTTCATAAATGCAACATTCTTGAGGAGACATTGAACAACACGAATAATCAAACAAGCGTATTTCTTACCTGTCCTACCAAAGTTTCTCCTGAACTGTAAGAAAAAAATTACGTTTTTAATAAGAGAATATTATTCAAGTGACACATGCAGTCTTTAAGTAATTTCTGTGAATTTATGCTTTAATTTAATCGAAATATACCTTCATACATGTAGGCTATCTCAGTTCTTCGGCGATAATTTCATGAGTAGGTATGCAAGTTTCACAAAACATGTCTTCTAATGCGCCCTCTTCAATAAAAGATGTGTTCTTTTTGTCACAAAACTTACTTTTGATACATTTATATCCAACAGAAATACACCTTTCCTTAAAATATTCCTCTAAAATAGAATGAACTTTGCTTCGGACATCTGATTGAATAATTTCCTCTAACGACATACTTTTGGGAACGAATATTTGCAACTGTATTTGATTTCCACAAATAGAAATAGCTATGATATGGCGTTTATATTGAAAGAATGCGGCACGGTGAAATATACACTCTTCTTGAGCATGTACGAAACTTTTCCAATGTTCAAAGCATCTGATAATTATTCGATGGAAATCAAATGTAGATATCTCACTTAATGAGAAACAAAGAATTGACGATTGTTTCAACTCTCCCAATATTGCTTAGTTTAAAGTCCGTTTATTTATGCACGGAACTAGATACGGCAATTTTTTATCGGCTCCACTTCATATTGCTATCAGTCCTAATCTCTGCATATACTGAAGCAACTCTTTTTCATGACTCAAAAATGATTCTTTTCCTCTTTTGCTTTCCCACATTTTCATAAGAAGTTCGTGACTCAATTCGCCAGTTTTATAAAATTTGGTAAATCCACCAAAAATTCATCATTTCTTGCCAAAGTCTTATCCGAGAGAATTGTCTTAAAAGCGTCAGCAAACCATTGTACATCAAGAATAACAACATCTTTTAATTCTTCCTCTGGAAAATACAACAATTAACAAACAGTGTGAAGAAATGATAAAAATTCATTCATTTCAGCATTGTCTATCTGAAATTCAATCGGTAACTTATCTTCTTGAACCAATAGTTTTTCTTTTTCAATAACTTTTTTGCTGCGTTGCAATTCCTTTATGATATATTCCCAAAAAATCCAGGAAGATGGTACTGCATCACCCCATTGCTGTTGCTCATTCACAAGTTTAACAATGCACGATTCTATATCATCCAATTTATCAAGACTCTCAATTTTTGATGTCGGAATTTTCACTGCGAATTTTCTTTCGTGAGATAAGTGAGTAAAAAGTTTCTTCATTGTTTCCATTCTTTTCCAGAAATCATCAAAATATTGTTCGATATCCTGAAATTTATTTTTCTAGAATAATCATATCTATATTCAAGTTGAATAGCTAGAGTTTCAGCTAAAATTTTCAAATTTATTTTAACATTTTTTTAAATATTTAACTAAGGTCTTTCTAATGATCATCAAAAATTTACGTCAGTTGTCGAGATACAAGACAGTTTGAGAGCTCCAAACCTTTGTTATGTAAACTGGGTGCGTGTCATTTTTTGTTAACATAGATTAATATACTAATATATGTTCGTTCAAAGCAAATGATTGCAATAAAGAAGTTAATTTTAAATACAATAAGACAGTTTCTAGTGTTTTGCTGAATTTCATTTTGTTTAAATATAATATGTTTGATATGTAAATAAAAACAAGGCACAAGCCCTATTTATTTACATTTTGAAGAACTCTTAGTTCTGTATCTGTATGATATTTAAATTTTTGCTGATCATTAGATGATGCCTTATTTAGGAAATGTAAGCATTAAAATGGGTTTAAAAATTCAGTTGAAACTGTGTCCATGACCCATTAAAGGTACATAGACACAGATTTGAAATTATTATTTTCTGTATAGTATTACAACTTATATTTTTTAATAGCATTTCACACAAAAATTTATTAAAAAAAAAAATCTTATTTCATATGAAAGATATTGAAATTTCAAATTTTTTTGGCGGGTTTGATTGACACATCCTTGTTGTTTCAAACATTAATTCTATTCTTAATCCTTAGGAAAAGTGGCAAATTCGTTGTTCGATAATTAAAAAAATATTAATACTATAATCCAGAAAATTCAGTGTAGATATGTTCGAAAGCAAAACAAACCAACAATATATTGTCAGTCCGTGCAGTTGTGGTAAACAGACTGTGACGATTGAACGCACCCGGTGAATTGTAAACATCAATAATAACAGAATTCGTGCCCTGTTTACAAAAACTGTGTACATAACACGAGTGTGCTCGATTTGGAAAACTCTGTACGCAACTCTTAGTTCGGAATGATGATACTTGTGAAGGAGTTTTGCTTTCTAACATTTCCACTCTGTATAAAATTATTTTTCTGGATAAAAGTTTTATTATTTCTAATTAATACACAAGATTTCAACTTTTCCTAAGGATTAAGAATAAGGTTAAAATTTGTGAAAGTGCAAGGATGTGTCAATCAAATCCGCTAACAAATTTAAAGTTTTAAAAACTTTTAAATGAAACAAGATTTTTAATCAGTTTTCGTGTGAAATGTTATTAAAATATGTAAGTCGTAATATTATAGAGAAAATATTGACTTCAAATCTGTGTCCAAGTAACTTTAATGGAGAGAAATATAATTGCATGGACCATAAACAAGTATCTATGTTTTTTCTTTTTAATTGAAGAATCTCCACGAGTGTAAAATTCTCGAGGGGGGTTAAAGAATATAAAATCAATCAATCAATCTTACGAGGGCTGTTCAAAAATTACGCGGACTGTGCTATTATTTACTCTTACAGACGTCATATAGTTATAATATTTTACAGAAATATGTATTTTAGAGATTTCAATAAATTTTGAGCAAAATTTCTGTATTTTGAAAAAAATCTACTAAAATTATCGGTATTTTGATATCGTTGATGCAGGGGTACGGCGCACGACAAAAAAAGGAAAAACAATATGTTGCCCAACTTCGTTTGGGGAACATAATTGAAGCAAGAGCATGCGGACTAAAAAACATTTAACTCATTGTCAACAATTTTCTCAAATGTACCTTTAAATTGTTTTATTATTATGTATTTAGATTTCGGACGTAATATTTGAAGTACTGACAGAAATATAGTGATTTTTCTTTGATGCGATTCCCGTGAAAACGACTTTGAAAATAACGTCTCTTGAATTAACGGCGCACTACACTTTTGTTAAAATATGTGTAATGCTCGAGATATCGGAAACATAGATCCAAAATATGCCTAATAAAACATGTAGTAAACTAGGCTACTCGTGACATTCGCCCACAAATAGCAAATTGAAATTTAAGACTGTTAGACCTCTGTAAAAAGGCTATACGGGAGGAGAGGAGGAAGATTATAGACAAAAAGTTAACTTTATCCGGACTGTAAAGAACGTGATTGAGAGTCAATAATATCACACTATATCTTATAAGTACTTTTTGGTTTTAAAACAAAAAAAGAATATTCTTTACTTGTTTAATACATTTTAAGCTTGACAAGAAACGGTGTTTTGATGTTGAGTAGAAAAGTTAACTCAAACTATACAGGTACCCAAGGAAAAATGTTGATATAATGAAAGCTCAATCACATATTTTTTATAATGCTTGTGACTTTATCCGGACTGTAAAGAACGTGATTGAGAGTCAATAATATCACACTATATCTTATAAGTACTTTTTGGTTTTAAAACAAAAAAAGAATATTCTTTACTTGTTTAATACATTTTAAGCTTGACAAGAAACGGTGTTTTGATGTTGAGTAGAAAAGGTAACTCAAACTATACAGGTACCCAAGGAAAAATGTTGATATAATGAAAGCTCAATCACATATTTTTTATAATGCTTGTGACGTCAAAGATTTTGCCGCGCCGTGACTAAATGGTATGTCCTGAAAAATCACTCAAAATTAATACCAATTTACAACATTTTGATATGAAATTTTGAAGACCATATAAAAAAAAAATTCTTTTATATTATTTGTGAAATTTTGTCCGATTATGTCGTTAAATATTACTTCTGCGCAACAAGTCCGCGTAATTTTTGAACGCCCTCGTACATATTGAACATTGATAATCATTTTGTTTTAATTTAAAACACTATACAAGACACACAAATAAAAACAAACTAAGTGTTCTTTTATGTTTTTAAAATGGTCTTTTGAAATATTGTGTTTTGAGAATATGTTTTAATACACTATATACAATAAAATCAAGCAATAACATTGTCGTGTGAACCAATTATCGGTGACAAACCTCATTGTATAGAATATCTGATTTAATTCAACATTGCATTTATATTATGCACAATTAATAAATTGTCTTCACTTGTCTTTTTAAAAGGAAACATAGCAACATTCTAAATTTGAAGGGAAATAATTTTAATATACCATTTTTACCTTTCTTTTTCTCCTTATTCTACGTTTAAGCATTGTCTTTTAATTTATAATCTTGTGTTAAAACTTACGTCTTTTGATTTTTCCTCCGCATGTGTGGCAACCAGAATAAGAGGCGCTTCCGTCGAGACAGCATTGATCGATTTTAGCCAAAAGATATAGTATTCAATCAAAAGTAAGCATACACTATTTTACATAATTAATGAAAGTTGCTTGAAAAATAATGTTTATTAAACGTTCCCCAAATTACTAAATACAAATTGATTTTACCAAAGTATGTCATATGTGCAAACTCTATTTCTTCATCTGTAGATTCAGTCTTGTGTACTTTCTCGTCAAATGATTTGGATATATCAACTACTAAGATGTAAAAGGCTTCTGGTCTCATGTAAATTTGATGACTGGCATAAAAAATATACTGGCCGCCAAAGTCGAAAAAGCTGATAATTTTATTATAGGACTCGTTTTTTTCAAATGATCTTACAACTTCCATGATGTTATCTAATTTAACTTTTGGGATAAGATAGTCATCTTTGGTTTTGTTCTGAAAATGTTGTTCAGTTTGGTTTGAATTTCTTATTAATGGTGCTCGTTCTTCATCTAAACATTCTGTACTTTCTTTAATTCCATCATTAAAAGTGTCATGTGTCGGTGTTTGAGTGACCGTCTTTTCCTCCTGGGACCGTTTTCTAGGCTGAGATTCATGAGCTACATCTTCTGTATTATCGCTAGGACCAGCTTCTTTGTTACATGTTTTCTCTTCATCAAATACCAAATTCTTTGAACAGGCAAAAAATGAATGATACTTGCCTCTGCACTCCTGTGGTTGGACTGTAATTATTAGAGAACTTAATAGTATTCTTTAAGACTTGGTTTGACTAAAGTAATATATTGAATTAGAGTGAAAAAAAAACCTTTCAAATGATTTGATGTGGAATCAATGGAAAATTCATCCACATGTACTTCCATTAATTCTGTTGATTGGATATTTAGGTTCAAAATCTCCTTAAAAGTACATTTACATAGTGTTATAAGCAGTGTTTTTTTCCAGCTCCTGCACATCTCACTAATATTCCCGTATAGTGGTATACTTTAATTTTAGCTCCATTTTTCCAAGCATGTCCCCATTGATCCTTCAGATTATTAATTTTTCCTGAAAGATTGTTAATGTATCTTTTTTTTTATTTTTCTTAACCATGAATATGATTTGGTGACAATTAAACATGCTTGTATTACATTTCCATGATATAATGTCAACGTCAGAAAAGGAAATCAAAATGATATTTCGTCACTAGAGAGACTATCGGTGCAGTGAAATATTCTGATTTTTTTTTTTTATTTGGCGATATATACTTACTTTTTCTAAGTTCTATAGCTCTTTTTCGTCCTATATCTAAGACAATCAGTAACATTAGAGTGGTAACAGGTATTAAGGCAATCCCAATACCATTGAAATACGTCAGGCTAGAATCTTCATCCTCGTGAACATGGAAGTTTGTGTTAGGATTGCTGAGGAAACAAACATTCAGGAACTTATTTTACAAAATCCTTTCCTTATTTTTAAACGTATCAAGCTCAAAACATATATGATGTTAAATAACATGGAATAAAGTACGCACTTAGTAGAATTAGGGCATTGTTTTTCAGCAGGAAAGCAATGCTCCTCCTTGTTGATAATTAAACATTCAGGATCTAAAATGAAAAAAAAAATAAGAGACGGTATGGACATTCCCTGATGACATGCATCAGACAATGTTTTAGTTCTTTTTATAATCAACAAAAAATCCTTAAAGAAATCACCTGTAGTATCTACACGAATGAAGATTGTCTTACAGTTAATGGACCAACCAAACGAGTACTTACAATTATAAATTTTTTCATCGATATATGACACATTTGGACAGCCAAACAAGAAACGCTCTTCACAGTTATAATTATTCAGATATCCTGATCCTTCAAGCCTCACACAGTTACCTTAAATTTTATTTGTGAAAATCCTTTATTTCTTATGCCTTTCTAAAATGCACGTTTACTTTATGATAGGGTTTATAATTAACTAATCATATTTTTACAAGATATTGAATCGCTTTATTGTAAAATTTTGCTTTATCAAATATGACTCACACTTGTATATATGTGTTTTCCATTTTTTCGAAAACTAGCTACATACATACCTTCTTCATATCGAGACTTTTTGATGTCAGTACAGAATTCAATCAATGATGAAAGGTATCTATTTGGAGCGCATAAAAATCTGGTTCCGGTTAAACATTTCCTTCTCTCCGATGCCAAGATAAATTCGGTTTTGTTCATTGGTCATTTATCGACAGGATACACTTCAAAACGTTATTCTTGTGCCTTTAAACACCAAAATACGCAAAATAAGAAATATACAGTAAAAATGCTGAATCGTTGAATTATTTTTGAAAATGAAAGGAGGAGGCAAGAAAAAGTATAATTTGTTTTATTATGTCAAAACTCGAAAACCCTATTTCGTCTGTGTGAAGATTTTCCCCTATATTCCACTCCTAACCTAATTATCTAAACATACCTTTAATTAAGTATACAACAAAAAAATTATAAAGATGGGTCAACCAGTCTTTCAATATACCTTCAAAAAGGGAATGCAAAACAAGATACCTTTTCCAGCCTTGAAAATATGATTCTGAGGTCCATAAATAGTTTAAAGTGCTTGAACACAGATTTGATAGTACGCGGGTATGTTAAGGCAGCACATGGACCAGAATTCGGCGAATGAAGACTTTTTTTTATAATTAGGTTACACTAATTAATCGGAAAAGTCAAGCATAAAACTTTTGTTATAATAATGCATTCTATAGACTTCAATGGGACTTATACTACATGAAGCACTTCACCATGACGTCACCACGTGACGTCTATAATTAGAAAATATGCCTTAATGAAAAAGTGAAAAGTTCAACACTACCCCGGGGATAAATAATTTCAATTTGTAATAATAATTATGTAAAAACATCTCTGTACCATGAAAAGTGCTGCTAGAATCCTACTGTCCTATCACAGAAATAATTATTTAACACTTATTGACGAAACCTTCCCAAAATTTTTACATTTTGTTCATAACATCGAAAAAAATGCATTAATTCCCGTTAACCATACGATTCTAGCAGCACTTTTCAAAAACAATAGAATAAGAATTTTAGATAGAAACAAAAATTAAGTTTCAAAGTGTGCAGCGTAGTGTTGAACTTTTGAATCTTATTTGTTACGAACGACAGAGGAAAGGCTGATGGGCAAGTAAACACCCTCCCTGCTTTAATTTAACGAAGAAATTGTTGAAGTATATTACCATACCTTATTCATACGTTTTATTCCCACATGAATCACACATGATATTCATTCTAAATGCTTTTAAACTCCGATTTCTTGTGTTTGTTTCACTTTCACTCTGCTACTGAATGATCAACAGTTATGACGTCACGGGTTTGGTATTTAACCCCTGTGATAACTACAGAGACCCAGAAACGACAAAATTCTGTTTTTATAATGCCTCTGCATATTTTGATTAATTTTTACGACAACAAATCAATCCTAGATATCGATTATAAGAAATTGATATCTCTAAACTTCACGTCATAAAGATTACTATGACGTCATATCATATAGGCAAGTAGAATATTTGGTTGTAACCTTAACCTACCTGCGTATTTTCTAAAATTTTCGGTATTATGTCAAGACTTCTATGTTTCTATAGCATTTAAAATGAAATTTAAGGGAAAAAACTTATTCTATCTGGAAATTATAAATACTAGAAATTTTTGGTATTGTTTGATTTGCACATCATTGAAATTTAACGAAGTTATCCTTAATACTTTGGAAAAGTAAAAACATAGGTAATCAGAGATCGCCTCAACGAATGTTTTCTTTAAGTAAGGCAATGTCACACAATTAACCAACAAATAGTGTACATTCAAAACTGCAAAATTTATGCAATTTTGATATTATACTTTGGAATAGACCTATATAAAACTTATAACTAGTTCTTCATCACGCACATGTATTTAAATCCAAGATCTAGAGCAAGTTTTCATCCTTTGATCATCCTTATTTGGAAAATGTATTGCAAATTCAGCATCTAGAGCAAGTCACTTAGAGGGCATCCTAAGATGTATCATCCATGAGAGAGTGCACAACATAGGGCTAATAGTTACTTAGAAATAAAACCTGCATAAAAATTTAACCTCTTCACTAATTCAGAAAAAAGTAGGTCAAATTCAGCATCAATCTGGTGTTGTGCATCCTTAGATGTATCATCCATGCAAGTTTGGTTAACATAGGTTTTAAAGTTACTTAGAAAAAAGACCTGCACCAAAAACATTAACCTGTTCACTCATGCAGAAAATGTAGGTCAGATTCAGCATCCGAAGCAAGCCGGGTAGTGTGCATCCTTAGATATATCATCAATGCAAGTTTGGATAGCATAGGGTTTATCGTTCCTTGGAAATCAGACCTATACCAGAAACTGCACCAAAAATATTAACAAGCTCCAAAAACATTAATCTGGTCATTCCTTTGCTGAAATTGCAGCATCTGAAACTGACTTGTACAATGGAACACAGTAGAAGCGTCTTCCTTGATGTCTAATAAATATAGGACATAGAATTACTTAAAAAGAAAACTACTAAAAAAATCTTAACATAAATCTCGGACGCCGACGCCGAGGGTATTGCATAAGATTCCCAACTTCGTTGAGGAGAGCTAAAAATGATGTGTATAAAATGAAATCTTCGGCGATTACGAACACTATACAAACTGAAAAGTCCGATGAAAGGTAAAAAAAAAATAGGAACAGAGCAAACGAGGACTTTTAAAAACATCAGTGATGGGATCGGGTGCCATGGAGAAGTGAGCATCCCCTGCCGACGGATCACACCCGCCGTGTTTTCATTGTCATGATCGAGATAAACTTGGAAAATCCGTAAAAAGGTATTAAACTATAATCAATAGAATAAAATAAAGAGTAGACATATTAGAAAGCAAAGCAAGCTCGCTGGGTTCTTAAACACTCTGCCTAATCGTTATTATAATTATCTAACCCATCCCCCATCATAAATCTTCTATCCGTCTAATCTTTTACCTTCACTCCATTTGATTATTTGGAGATTTTATTATCTTCTTTTGCCATTTCATCTTGCATTATGCGCTATACACCAGATTTTGATTAATATGCATCTAGATTGTTTCAGCAATAAATCATTATTTTTGAAAGATATAGTCTCATAACCGCAACGGAGTGTTCAAATAAAGTGAATAACGCCTGTGAGCGCGATATGAAAATGTGTTTGCACGCACGTTGCAGTTAAGAGACTATATCTTTTAAAAGATACATGTAATAATTAATTGAGTATATTTACATTATAAAAAAACCGCTCTGCGTAGACTGGAAATGTGATTAATATTCTAATATTTACATCTACTGTGTATTTTCTCCTTTATTTCTTAAGAAATCCCATT